AGAAGAAACCATCTTTGCAAAAAATTATCACGTTTTGGTATCACCATCATATGATTTAAGGTATTTTCGTGGTCTTGCTCACTTTTTCATTTTTTGGCCCTTATTTAACATCTTTGTTTCTAAGGGGGAAGAAAACCTCTTCTTATAAATTTTTATTTTTCGGAAAAGCGCGCATCTTAGTCTTGAGGCTACCTGGGGTAAAAAACCATGGAGTGGAAAATCATCTTACAGATAATTATCCTCATATGAATTTATTTAAGTATAGTCCCCACATTAGTATACCCCCAAGTCCACTTTCCCAACCAATGTGTGGTCAGAAAAGAAAATTTGGTATTCTATTGAATTTGTAACCCCCAAGAAAATATTGGTTGGGAACGTAGATTTGGGATGTACGTCTATATGAAATAAACTCCGAAATGTCAATCTGGGACTCATTCAGTCGGAAATTGTGGCAGAAACATGAAAAAAATACGAAATTATAAAGGAACTTTATTGGATCTCCACCACAAAATTTAAATGACAAACAATTAATGTCCATCTTACGGTAATCGGAGCAAAAGAGTAATTTTTTTGGCTATTATGACTACATTCTGCCTTCAAGTATGAGGTGGACAAAACTGAATACCACGCAGTACGGGATTTGAAACGTTGGAAATACAAATTTCAAATTATAGCAAAAGCATTCAATTTTTATAATATCAAAAATTGAGCTGAATTTTCACATGGGGCTATTATAGATGTTCTTTATCATATAGGTATTTAACACTAAAATTAAAGCCTATAGCTGAAAAATAAGATCAGGCTCTTCAAAATGTCTAAAACCGACGGTAATTATAATTTTTGCCATGAATATTAATTTATATTTAGTCATGGAGTCATTACTCATAATCAAGTCATTACTTATAATCAAAATTGGAGTAATTATAATGGCGTCATTACTTATAATCAAAATTGTGCCGCCTACATAAGTCAGATCTGTGATTTATTATGCTTTAAAGACTAAAAGTACGGGCCGGCAACGCGGACCGGGCCAGCTAGTATATATATATATATATATATATATATATATGTATATATATATATATATATATATATATATATATATATATATATATATATATATATATATATATATGTATATATATATATATATATATATATATATATATATATATATATATATATATATATATATATATATATATATATATATATATATATATATATATATATATATATATATATATATATATATATATATATATATATATATATATATATATATATATATATATATATATATATATATATATATATATATGCCTGCCCGTAGTTCTAGTCTAGTACTCATAAAAGTGCACACATTCTATTTTAAATATTGACTTGTCTAAATAGAAATAAATGCCTATGGAAGGAGGGCAGAATAATTTCTGAATTATCAAAGTTAATTATGGTTTTATACCCAATACCATAGCACCACAAATTGTTCATTTGAGTCCCTAGAAAAACGTGGCCGAGATTAGGTGAAATCAGGGACAAATTCATATGAAGGTTACACAAACATGACGTGTTTGGTCATGTATTTGGTGGACCAAACACGACATGTACTTCCAATTGTAATGAAATTTAAAATAAGTAACGGAATTGGGAGCCAAAATGAATTTGTCAAATTAAATTGAAATCGGTTCAGATTTGGATATAGCTCCCATATATATTTTCCGCCAATTTCAAATATTTGATGCACAAAACACGATACGTATTTCCGATTCCAACGAAATTCGGCATGAGTGGCTAAATTTGGTACAAAAATAAATTTGACAAATTATATTCAAATACGCTCAGATGTGATTATAGCTCCCAAATATATACTCAGCCGATTTCACATATTTGATGCACCCAAAGCGAGAGAGACAAAATCTGGCACCAGAAAAAATAGCCAAATTATATTGAAATCAGTTGAGGTTTGGATAAAGCTAACATATATATTTCGGCCGATTTCATACATTTTATGCACCAAACACGATATATATGACCGATACCAATGAAATTCAGAATGTGTGGCGGAATTTGGTTATAATAATAAATGTGATAAATTAATATATTAGTTAAGATTTGGATATAGCTCCCATATATATATTCTCGGCCGATTTCACATATTTGATGCACCAATTTCAATGAAATGTGAAAGGTGTGGCGGAGTTTGGTGTAAAAGTATTTTTTTTAAAATTATATTTAAATCGGATCAGATTGGGATATGATTTTAATAAGAACCATTGATCCACAACGCCTTAGGCTAACACTAAAAAACAACACAACAATTGATTTGAAATACGGGAAGTATGTTGCTAGCTCGAATTCACTAATTGCAATAGAAATGCCAATCCAATTCAAAAAATTGCAGTTTCCTGTACGCTTGGTATTTGCTATGAAATTAATTTTTTTTAATTTTTAAATATATATATATATATATATATATATATATATATATATATATATATATATATATATATATATATATATATATATATATATATATAGATATATGTATATAATATATATTGTTTTTTCGATCTCGTCACTTGGGTAAAAAATGTTTTTTGTCATAGAAGTTATTTCTAAAATAACTTCTGGGGAGAATATCCCAGGCAAAAACAAGGGAACTGATGAGGATTGGTGGCTCTTTCCGAAACCTAGGTATTCCCTGCCTTACCCCCTGGTAAACATTACCATCGTTCTCCACTAATAAACAAACGTTGTTTTTATAAAAACGACAATAAAGGGATAAAGCCAGACTATTTTGTATATTTTTCATGAATTGGTGTATTGTATATTGCCCACAGAATTGATTCCGTTATGACAATACATACTCGACGGACAACCCCGCGGCAAGAAAAGCATATGCCGACAAGTCACTTGTGGGCTCTAAATTAATGGCCTTGGTGGCAAAGCAAATAAACCAACAGACATAGCAAAAGCAGGCTCTGCCAGAATAACTTTTATTATTTAAGGGTCCCGCAAAATCTACTCCTTTATTTGTAAAGGGTCTCAATAAGCGGGTTCATTCAGGAAGTACTGACACCATTAACTGGCACTGGGTTCGTTTCTTGTGAAGCAGATTTGCAATTATGTATTGTTTTCATATTCGTTTGCATCAAGCTAGGACGTTTACTATCCTGAATTTCTGCAGCTGTAAGATCCGTTGAAGTTATTCTAAGTTTCCGTCTACTTTTTCCAAAACATTAATTCATATACATATGATCGATAGACCTTTGTTTAAAATGAAAAATGTAGTAAAGGGTCACCTCCTTCTTGGAATAGGGTCAGGATTTTTAGGGTTTTTGCCTCTAAGTTTGTATTATCGGGGTTCTTGTATGATGGCCAAATATTTTTAGGTATTTTGAGTCATTGGGGTCCATGCCACTAGAGTTCGTTACTAATTAGTTCTACAGAGTCTACATTTTTCCAATGTACTACTTCAATGTGTTCTGAGATATCAGATGTTTGATTTCCCACAAAGGCTGAACAATGTCAAGGTGGTATCTTTTAAGTTAAGCGATGTCAATTGTTGAATCAGTACATGAATGAATCATTTGTTCTCTAAAATAATTTATCACACATATTGCGCCTCTAATATAAAGTACTTACAAGGAACTCTTTGTGTGGAATTTTAGACAAATCCGTTGAAAAATGTGGCTAAAATAATGAAAATACGGAATATCGGGGGTACCAATATATGGGGGCTATACGATATCGTGGACCTATGTAGATAATTTGTTGCAGGCCGTTCACATTCGGCGCAAAAAGGCAACAAATATATGGGGCCGGGTTTTTTGGCAAAACCTGTCCACAACCACCGCAGAAATTATCCCAATTCTGTTGGTAGTGCATCCCATAATTGGTCCTCAAATGGATTTGCTCAGTTTTCTTGGGTTTTTAGTGAGGATGGTGAGGATGCTTCGAGATTTCAATTTGCTTGTAATTTCTGCGGGGTGTGTAGTCTGGGTGGCGATGGGATCAAAATGCCGGAAATGGTTTGTTAGGGTTCGCTACGTACGAAATTAGGCTCGAACAGGGTGGAGTAAAAGAGTATTATAAAGGTAGTGAATGACAGGGTGACTCAGGCTAAGAAGTGACTAGGCAGCCCTATGATTGCTGAGTAGGTGGGAACCTACTATAAATATGATCAAAATTTGTTTAGACACAATTTGAATGAATGATTATGAAAAAAAAAAAAAAAGCGGCACGTTGAAATAAAAATTTAAGAAATATCAGAAGAATAGAAAAACAAAAGATTTCGAGAGAAATATTAAAATGTTTTTGCTGATGTCTCGCTGCCGTATGAGGTTAAAGGAAATTGGCGTTGTTTGGGCGAGTTGGTAACGTATGTGAAAAGGGTTGGGCGAATAGTTAGACAGCCGTTGATTTTTAAATGAGAGACTCAGGGGTGAGGTGAAATGAGAATTCACAATAGAATAAAAAATGGCTATTGACAGTTGAAAAGAAAAAGGAATGAAAATTGAAAATGGCTCAGGAAAATGGTGTTTCGTGGAAAATGAGCGTCTGGCGGGATTCACTGAGAAGAGGGGTATAAAAGGCTGCGAGCATAAGAAAAGCCAAAGTTAAGAATAAGACGTTACCGGTGAAACTTAGCTAGAGAGCAGTGCAGAAGTGGAAAAATTTAATTTGTGTGTTGCGATTTTTTTTATTGTGTAAGTAGTTTGTAACAGTGGTTTGTTGAGTAATGTGTTGTTATATGTGATGTGTGTTGCTCCAACAGGAATATTCCGGTGGTGTATCAAGCTTTTTTGGAAGCACCGAAAATTGTCCGGTTTTGGTCAGCACAACGGCGGGAAATTGCCTTTTCTTTTTGGTAACGCAAGGTAGTGGCAAGTTGTCCACAGGAAAAGAAAGCCAAAAAAAGTTACATTGAGGGTGTGGAGATTTGAATTGTAAACTGGCCAGCTGCAACTTTGAGCTTTTTGCTGTGCCGGTTATTGATCCCGCCCAGAACGCCGGCATTGTAAAAGGACCAGTCAACAAGTCCAGCTTCATTTGAGGGTTTGCCTGGCGTTCAAAATCTGTTTCCTCCGGAAAGAAGCGTAAACTGGAAGGAGAGATAAGAAGAATTAATCAATAACGTTATAAATCACTGCTCAGGTAAAAGGTGTCTTACCGTTGTGTTGTCCTTGATATATTTATATATATGTGACGTCTATAAAGTTTGCTGTCTCCTTTTTTGGAACTAAAAGAAAAAAAAAAAAGAGTTAATAATCATAAATTTCGAGAAAAAAATATAATATTCAGTATAAAGATTTAGTAATAAGATAGGTTATAGTTCTTAGGATTTAAGTAATAATCAGTTTGTAAGGGAAAAATACCGCGTTTATTTTCAAAGGCTAGGAGGTGTTACAGTAAAATTATCTTGAGTCCTTGTGATTCGATCTGATAGTTTAGGCCGTGGAATTTTAGCGGCAATTAGGCCGGTTAAGAGAGCTCTTTTAGGTGGCTAGTAATTTCGTATAGACGCGTGAATATTGCGCGGGAAAAGCAAGGCAAAGGATAATATATTGGTTTCTACCGAGTAATTAAAGCCATAGATTTAAGAAAGCCCGGTATTATTCTTAATTTGTTTTTTTTTATAAACCATACAGTTTGTCAATTTTAGTGTAAAAAAAAAAAAATAGTAGAGAAAAAAATTAAGAAAATATTTAAAGCTAACTTATTTTTTTTTTAATAAAATTAAAAATGATTCTTCTGTAAACAGTAGATACTAACATGTGTTGCTAAATTTGTATAACTTGGGGGGGGAAGGTGGTATGAAGTAAGTGTGTGATTCGAAGCGTGTGGTTCAAGGGGATTCAGAGAAACGCAAGAAATGGAAATACTGGATCCAGGTAGGGTGGGCGAGTGTGGGATCGATCCACCGAGATCCCTGTATGATGACTCCTATTTTGTATATCGTAGAGTAGAGCAATTGTAGTAAAGTCCCCTTTCAATGTTAGTGTGTTGGATTCGATTGGCGGGTTGAGATCCCTAGCCCTGGGAGTCTCTGTGACAGTCGGATGGCCTAATCGTATGCCGAGCATATGCACACATAACAGAGATGGCGCCCAAGATTCTAAAATAAAGCTTTATTGTACCTGATACCACTGTAAAAAATGGCGACTCAAACATGGCCGTGTTAAACTGTGATATTAGGTTAGTAACTCTGTGCAGTAACATCGACGCACACAGCCATAGAATGCTAGTAGATTTTAAATAGACAAAAGAAAATGTTTTTGACAAATAATATTCTGTGATATTAGTATGCATCCGAACTTTAGAGAGATGGGTTACGAAGTGCGATATTACTATATCAAATATATTATGGGAACGTTTTCTCCACTGTTCTAAGTAGGGTGTAATCAATAGCTTGTAATTCCGAGCTGGAATAAAACAATTTGTATTGAGAATCCTACTGTTAAAATTTGTTTTTGTGAAATAACCCAAATAAATTATAGACGGGAATAAGTACTTCGAGTAGCAGCAATAGCGATTTTGATCTGAGAGATGCAAAAATCCAAGTATTGCATATAAAAACCCTGAGCTTTCATTTATAAAATGTAATAGATATGTCATGGGTCCGAAGTTAACGAAGCACTATAATTTATGAGAAGAATAAGAATGTCTAAAGGAAAAGTCATACACCTCATAAAGGGCACTAAAATTATTATTAAAAAAAAAAAAAAAAAATAATAATAATAATAATGAATAAATAAAAAAAAAAAAACCACACACACACTGCTTCTGAAAATTACACTTCCCCCGTAGATCTATGTTGTAATTGTCAAATTTGAAAATTTGTATGTGTAATTGTAATCGAATGTATTTATAAAAAGTATTTGTTTTGCCGATGTTTCATATTTGAAAAAAAGGTTAACTGAATTTAAAACTTACTTACAAGAAAAGGTTTCGTCCGAGATTCAATTGATAGCAAATGAGAAGATAAATTTTGGGTATAGGTCATGATCTACAATACCCGCAATAGTAAAAGAAATAAGAGAGGCAGACCCGAAAATTTTGACCTAAACCGATCGACTTATTTTCCAGAGCAGAGTAAGCAAGACGAATAGGGTCGGACGAAATGGCGAATGAGGATAGGAATATGAGTGCTTTGCAATTTATCGATCTAGCAGACACGATAATGCGAAGAGATCAGAATACCAATCATGTGCCAACAGTGAGTGATAATTTGAATAATAATGGTCCAACTACTTCCGACTTACATGGACTAGTACAAGATGAAGCAGCGTCTGTCCAGAAGTCATTGGAAGATAAAGTTAAAAAAATGGTCGAAACAGAAATATCTGATGTGAAGAAAATGATAGATTCTTTATCAAAAGGCATGAGAGAACTATCCGACACTGTGCGTAAACAATTAATTGTACCCCCAACGGCCACAGTAGCCTCTAATTCTATTACAAATAGTAATGCTAATCCGACGTCAAACAATAATAATGACGCAGTAAATAGGAATATGCCACCAATTATCCAATTTCCGAGTGCTAGTCAAACTCCATTATCAGATCAATTTACTGGCCCGATAACGAATACGTTTAGAGTGGAACCACTAGGAATACGAGTTGATAAACTTGGTTTAAATTTCAGTGGTGACCCGAAAGGCTTAAGAATTATGGATTTTATTAAGCGGTTAGAGATCATGCAGGCTCAATATAACATTCCATGGTCTGAAGTGTTGAGGGATTTCGCCTTTCTGGTTTCTGGTCAAGACAGAGAATGGTATTGGCTGCATAGACAAAGTAATGTTTACACCGATTGGGTGGGTCTTAAAGAAGCGCTGATAAGCCAGTATCAAACCCCACAATCCAAATTCGACATACTCAGGGATTTGTTAGAAAGGAAACAAAGGCCAAATGAAAGCATCAATAGTTATTTTCACGAGATGGGAATTTTGCGATCTAGATTACTTCAACCTATTTACGAGTACGAAATGATTAAGATCCTAAGGGGAAATATACGTGAAGATATAAAACGACATGTATATCAGATGACCATTTCGTCGGTTGAACAGCTACGAATAGAATGTATTGAAGCTGAGAGAAATTTCCCTAGGCGCGCAAATAGAGCTGTAACGTTCCCCCAGCGACCTATCCGCCAAGTAAATGAAATATATGATGAAATTTATGAAAAGCCTGTAGAAGTACCGGAGGAGAATATTGGTGAAGAGCTGTCAGCTATCCGGATACAAAGCCAAATTAGAGTTCCAATTATCTGCTGGAACTGTCGAGAAAAGGGGCATGTTTTTATGGACTGTCCAGTAGAAGTCCGGAAATTGTTCTGCTATAGGTGTGGGAAGCCGGACACAGTAACCCCAAAGTGTTCTGTCTGTCAACAGGGAAACTCCCGAAGGGGTGTGGAAGTGACAGGGGAAACACACCCGTCAGAGAACCCTGTGAATCGGAAGAATCAGCACCCAAAAACGTCCGAATTTTAAAAAAAAACAACGATAATGTATTTAGAGATAAGAGTAGTGTAGAATCGAAAAATTTTTCTGCAGGTCAGAGGCATTACATTCCATTAGAAAATCGCCAAAGAAATTATGCTAAGGTCAAGGAGAGAATTTTTAACTCAGAGTTTACTGTAATCCCGAAAAAAATTATTGAATTGAGACAAAAATCCAAGAAGTGGCGTGAGCAGCGAAGATATTTGATAGAAACGATTTCGAGAGTAACTGGTATTGCCTCAGATCCCAGAGTTTTCTCGGAAATCAGTATGCAAGGAAAAATCATGAATGGGCTCCTAGACACCGGCGCTTCGGTTACTATGTTAGGGAAAAATTGCCGAGAGATAATAGAAGAACTTGGCATTCCAATTATACCAATGTCCAGCAGGGTAACCACCGCCGGAGGTACACAGTATAATGTTTTAGGGAAAATTAAAGCCATCATAAAATACCAAGAGCAGGAAAAATTTATGACACTGTATCTATGTCCTCAATTGGAACAAGAACTATATCTTGGAATAGACTTCTGGCGAACATTCGAATTAGCCCCTGATGTGATAGGAGCTGCTGAAATTAATATAGAAAAAGTTTTCAGGGATATGACTGATACGGGTCCCGACTACAAACTCAACCCTCACGAGTTAACAAATGATCAAGAGAATCGATTAAAATGCATAGTAAAAAAATTCAAGACCTTTGAAGAAAATGGGCTAGGTTGTACTAAGTTAGAAAAGCATTCGATTAAGCTCGTGGAAGGTGCGGAACCGGTTAAAGACCGCCACTATCCAATGTCTCCAGCGGTTCAAGCTATCACGTACCAAGAAGTCGATAATATGTTAGCACTTAATGTTATTGAGGAAAGTGAAAGCCCTTGGAGCAATCGTACAACTATCGTACGAAAGCCCGGAAAAAATCGTTTCTGTCTGGATGCTCGAAAGTTAAATAAGCTCACGGTCAAGGACGCATACCCCCTGCAAAACATTGAAGGAATACTAAGTCGCATTGATGAAACTCATTACATTAGCAGCGTGGATCTTAAATATGCGTTCTGGCAAATCGAATTAGACGAAGAAAGCAAGCCGTACACCGCTTTTACGGTCCCAGGTCGTCCATTGTATCAATTCCGTGTGATGCCGTTTGGATTGTGTAATGCTGCACAAAGGTTATGTCGACTGATGGACAAAGTCATTCCCCAACGACTCAAGGAGAATGTCTTTGTGTACCTGGACGACCTGTTGATTATTTCAAGTGATTTCGACGAGCATCTTCGTCTATTGAATGAAGTAGCCGATTGCCTTGACCGAGCGAATTTAACAATCGGGTTAACCAAGTCAAAATTTTGTTTTCGTCAGTTGAGATATTTGGGTTTTATTATTGGAGAAGGCATGTTGCGTACTGACCCCGAAAAAGTAGAAGCAATTCGAAAAATTAGAATTCCCAAAAGTGCTAGGGAAGTGAGAAGTTTTCTGGGTACAGCAGGATGGTACCGAAGATTTATTAAAGACTTCGTGTCACTTTCAGCTCCCCTTACTGATACCCTGAAGAAATCGCCCAAATTCGTAATTACGGAAAAGGCAAAGGAGGCATTTGAAAACTTAAAGAGGGCCTTAACTTCCGCACCGGTGTTACGCCACGCAGATTTTTCCAAACCCTTTTTTATTCAATGTGATGCTTCGGAATATGGCATCGGCGCTGTTCTATTTCAGCTGAATGCCGAAGGACATGAACATCCGATCGCTTTCTATTCGAAAAAACTCAATAAGTGTCAGAGAAATTATAGCGTGACAGAGAAGGAATGCTTGGCGGCGGTGATGGCTATCAAAACTTTCCGTCCTTACGTGGAGCTAATGGAATTCACCGTGATAACAGATCACGCTAGTTTACAATGGCTGATGAGTCTAAAGGACCTCAGTGGTCGTTTAGCTCGCTGGTCATTGCAACTTCAGGGATTTAACTTCAAAATCGAGCACCGAAAAGGAAAGGAAAATGTTGTCGCCGATATGCTATCCCGCCTACCCAATGCCGACGAAATAGACATGAATCGGGTTTTTGAATTCGAGACCACCGAGTTTGAAAGTGATTCGTACAAACAGCTTAGAGAAATTATAGCAAATAAAAAGGAGAATCTCCCCGATCTAAAGATTGTCGACAATATGGTATTTAAAAGAGATCCCAAGTCCTATAACCCAGAAACACAAGAGTTTCAGTGGAAATTGTGGGTCCCAGAGTCTTTGACCCATTCTTTAATAGAGCAAGCCCATGATAGAACTACGTCAGCTCACGGAGGCATATCAAAAACCATTTTTCGTTTAAGAGAAAAATATTACTGGCCTCTAATGGTATCCCAGGTTAGGCAATACGTGTCTAAATGTACTGTTTGCAAAGAGACAAAGCCTACCAATGAAAATACTCAGCCTCAGATCGGAAATGAAGTCGTGACCAATCTTCCCTTCCAGAAACTCTACGTTGACTTCCTCGGGAAATACCCCCGGTCTAAAAGTGGCAACGCCTTTATATTTATAGTGGTGGACCACTTTAGCAAATTTACATTTCTTAAGGCAATGAAAGAGGCAACAGCTTCCAATGTGGTAAAATTTATGGTTGAGGATATATTTCGTAAGTTTGGCGTACCCGAGACGATACATTCCGACAATGGGGCACAGTTCGTATCTAAAACTTTCAAAGACATGATTGAAACATATGGAATCAATCATATCCAAACAGCTCCATATGCTCCGCAGTCTAATGCATCTGAGAGAGTCAATCAATCAGTATTGGCGGCGATTAGGGCATATCTAGAAAATGACCACAGAGATTGGGACCTGTATCTAACAGACATAGAGTGCGCCTTAAGAACATCGATTCATACTGCAACTGGTGTAACGCCATTTTTCGCGCTGTTTGGTCATAGTATGTATACCCATGGTTCAGATTATAAATTAGCTCGGAAGCTCCACTCATTGGCGGACCATGAAATTATACATTTAGATCGTAACGACAAGATGGAACTAATCCGAAATAAAATTAGACAGAATATGCATCAGGCTTATCAACAAAGCGCAAAAAGGTATAACGCAAGGGCTCGTACGATTATTTTCTCTCCGGGTCAAGAGGTATATAAAAGAAACTATGTTCTTAGCGATTTTGGGAAAAATTTTAATGCTAAGTTTGCCCGGAAATTTACGAAGTGTCGTATAGTAAAGCCCATAGGAAATAATATGTATTCTCTCGAAGATCTAAATGGAAAGGCGATTGGAATCTGTCATGCAAAAGATCTTAAAAGATAAGTGGAAAAGAAAGTCTTTTCAATCCCCTTTCCCAATTCAATTTTTATAAAAAGAATTCTAAAATAACTCTCAAAAACTATTTCACATTTGTTACCAATTCTATATCACATTTATCAGCAATGGTTTAATTCAAAATCGAATGAATCAAAACAAAACATAGAAAATGTGTCTGAGGAAACTAAATACGATAGTAAAATCACCTTCGTACTGAATTCATTCGTATTAAGGTTCAAAAATATCAGCTGATCTGTTCCCCTAATTGGGTAATTCAAGTTAATCAGACTCTAGTTTCACGTTTATCACAGCTGTCTAATTTCTTTTACAATATATTCTACGCGACATACAAATTTAAAAAAAAAAAAAAAAATGTACTTAAACACCCCCGGTGGCGATAAAAATAGCACAATCTGGTTTATTCCGGCATAAATTAATGAAAGATTCCCATACATAAAAAGCGAACATACATAAAACTACATTCTACCAGACAATCACGTAGACACCACGATTATGGCAATTGTTTACCTATCAATCACATCAGCATATACCGCATACAAAATCCGTTGTTCGGCAACCACGACGACAAGACAGGCATAGGCACAAATATTTCCGCATGCAAAATGTTTCACCACCTATTAAGGAATGAAAGTTATTAATTGGTCAAAACAAACAAAAAAGTACCGAAATACATTCCTAGGGCTATGCCCGCTTTCTGTCAAAATACTGCAAAATTGTATGCGACAAAATGTTTTGATAATTGTTATTTTTTTTGAATGCGTTATTGAACGCACGGATTTTTTTTTCAAAAATGTGATCCAAACTGTTTAATCCTTCAATTCCAGGACAAAACAGGGTAATATTTTGAACGCCGGCCACGCAGTGTTCGTTTTTCCAAACATTGACCTTGAAAATATTTTTTTTTATTTTCAAAACAAATAATACACAATAATGACAGAAGTCGGGCACACTTGGAAAAAAAATTGTAATCAGCTTTCAGATCTACCTTACCTTTTTATTGTACCATGATTTCAATAATTTGATCAAATTATGTTTGTATCAAAGTACGTATAGATTCCAACTTTGAAGATTATATCCAACCAAGAAGAATGTGTGAAATTTTGATGGAATCGGAGAATTTTTCATTGAGAGCTGGTGGGTATTACCAGTGTAGATCCGCCGGCGAGGACAAATATATTCCAACTCCACACAAGGTCTTGGGTTGATAGAATTATTGGGTTGTTCCGGATGTTTACCTTTTTGTAGTGAAGGTCCCAAAGGAGTGGGCCGATAAATCCCATCCGTTCCTCTGAGCTTGTCTTAGTAGAAATACTGAATGCGGGATTGTATAAATGAATGAATGCGTATTTTAAAATTTATGAGCGTTTTTGATCTTCCCAAATGTTGACCTGCTATAGGGGAACTCGATCGATGTTTGGTAGTGACACGATATTTTCAGGGTGTCGGATCGAGAATTATCAGGCGAACCAGCAAGACATGTTTCACAGATCTGATGGACAGATTAGAAAAATAAATTAACTTATGTGGCTCTATTTCGATGGGGGATACTTACCAGCATGAGGGGGAGGGCTTAGACCAGCCTGCTGTTCGGAGCTTATGCCCGGCATGAGACCTTCAGGGAGTGGGATGTCCCCACGTAAATGAGTAATGCGGCCGTGCACATCACCTCCGTCCTCGATTTTCTGGCCGAAGTTGAAGTTTTGTTGCAGGCCGTTCACATTCGGCGCAAAAAGGCAACAAATATATGGGGCCGGGTTTTTTGGCAAAACCTGTCCACAACCACCGCAGAAATTATCCCAATTCTGTTGGTAGTGCATCCCATAATTGGTCCTCAAATGGATTTGCTCAGTTTTCTTGGGTTTTTAGTGAGGATGGTGAGGATGCTTCGAGATTTCAATTTGCTTGTAATTTCTGCGGGGTGTGTAGTCTGGGTGGCGATGGGATCAAAATGCCGGAAATGGTTTGTTAGGGTTCGCTACGTACGAAATTAGGCTCGAACAGGGTGGAGTAAAAGAGTATTATAAAGGTAGTGAATGACAGGGTGACTCAGGCTAAGAAGTGACTAGGCAGCCCTATGATTGCTGAGTAGGTGGGAACCTACTATAAATATGATCAAAATTTGTTTAGACACAATTTGAATGAATGATTATGAAAAAAAAAAAAAAAAGCGGCACGTTGAAATAAAAATTTAAGAAATATCAGAAGAATAGAAAAACAAAAGATTTCGAGAGAAATATTAAAATGTTTTTGCTGATGTCTCGCTGCCGTATGAGGTTAAAGGAAATTGGCGTTGTTTGGGCGAGTTGGTAACGTATGTGAAAAGGGTTGGGCGAATAGTTAGACAGCCGTTGATTTTTAAATGAGAGACTCAGGGGTGAGGTGAAATGAGAATTCACAATAGAATAAAAAATGGCTATTGACAGTTGAAAAGAAAAAGGAATGAAAATTGAAAATGGCTCAGGAAAATGGTGTTTCGTGGAAAATGAGCGTCTGGCGGGATTCACTGAGAAGAGGGGTATAAAAGGCTGCGAGCATAAGAAAAGCCAAAGTTAAGAATAAGACGTTACCGGTGAAACTTAGCTAGAGAGCAGTGCAGAAGTGGAAAAATTTAATTTGTGTGTTGCGATTTTTTTTATTGTGTAAGTAGTTTGTAACAGTGGTTTGTTGAGTAATGTGTTGTTATATGTGATGTGTGTTGCTCCAACAGGAATATTCCGGTGGTGTATCAAGCTTTTTTGGAAGCACCGAAAATTGTCCGGTTTTGGTCAGCACAACGGCGGGAAATTGCCTTTTCTTTTTGGTAACGCAAGGTAGTGGCAAGTTGTCCACAGGAAAAGAAAGCCAAAAAAAGTTACATTGAGGGTGTGGAGATTTGAATTGTAAACTGGCCAGCTGCAACTTTGAGCTTTTTGCTGTGCCGGTTATTGATCCCGCCCAGAACGCCGGCATTGTAAAAGGACCAGTCAACAAGTCCAGCTTCATTTGAGGGTTTGCCTGGCGTTCAAAATCTGTTTCCTCCGGAAAGAAGCGTAAACTGGAAGGAGAGATAAGAAGAATTAATCAATAACGTTATAAATCACTGCTCAGGTAAAAGGTGTCTTACCGTTGTGTTGTCCTTGATATATTTATATATATGTGACGTCTATAAAGTTTGCTGTCTCCTTTTTTGGAACTAAAAGAAAAAAAAAAAAAGAGTTAATAATCATAAATTTCGAGAAAAAAATATAATATTCAGTATAAAGATTTAGTAATAAGATAGGTTATAGTTCTTAGGATTTAAGTAATAATCAGTTTGTAAGGGAAAAATACCGCGTTTATTTTCAAAGGCTAGGAGGTGTTACAGTAAAATTATCTTGAGTCCTTGTGATTCGATCTGATAGTTTAGGCCGTGGAATTTTAGCGGCAATTAGGCCGGTTAAGAGAGCTCTTTTAGGTGGCTAGTAATTTCGTATAGACGCGTGAATATTGCGCGGGAAAAGCAAGGCAAAGGATAATATATTGGTTTCTACCGAGTAATTAAAGCCATAGATTTAAGAAAGCCCGGTATTATTCTTAATTTGTTTTTTTTTATAAACCATACAGTTTGTCAATTTTAGTGTAAAAAAAAAAAAATAGTAGAGAAAAAAATTAAGAAAATATTTAAAGCTAACTTATTTTTTTTTTAATAAAATTAAAAATGATTCTTCTGTAAACAGTAGATACTAACATGTGTTGCTAAATTTGTATAACTTGGGGGGGAAGGTGGTATGAAGTAAGTGTGTGATTCGAAGCGTGTGGTTCAAGGGGATTCAGAGAAACGCAAGAAATGGAAATACTGGATCCAGGTAGGGTGGGCGAGTGTGGGATCGATCCACCGAGATCCCTGTATGATGACTCCTATTTTGTATATCGTAGAGTAGAGCAATTGTAGTAAAGTCCCCTTTCAATGTTAGTGTGTTGGATTCGATTGGCGGGTTGAGATCCCTAGCCCTGGGAGTCTCTGTGACAGTCGGATGGCCTAATCGTATGCCGAGCATATGCACACATAACAAATTCTCCTCCAAAAGATAAAGCACTAACAAGGAACTCCGTGTGTGGATTTTCAGACAATTCCGTTGAAAATAAAGCAACAGACATAGCAAAAGCAGGCTCTGCCAGAATAACTTTTATTATTGAAGGGTCCCGCAAAATCTACTCCTTTATTTGTAAAGGGTCTCAATAAGCGGGTTCATTCTGGAAGTACTGACACCATTAATTGGCACTGGGTTCGTTTCTTGTGAAGCAGATTTGCAATTATGTATTGTTTTCATATTCGTTTGCATCAAGCTAGGACGTTTACTATCCTGAATTTCTGCAGCTGTAAGATCCGTTGAAGTTATTCCAAGTTTCCGTCTACTTTTTCCAAAACATTAATTCATATACATATGATCGATAGACCTTTGTTTAAAATGAAAAATGTCGTAAAGGGTCACCTCCTTGGGATAGGATCAGGATTTTTAGGGTTTTTGCCTCTAAGTTTGTATTATCGGGGTTCTTGTATGATGGCCAAATATTTTTAGGTATTTTAAGCAATTGGGGTCCATGCGACTAGAGTTCGTTACTAATAATTTCTACAGAGTCTACATTTTCCCAATGTACTACTTCAATGTGTTCTAAGATATCAGATGTTGGATTTCCCACAAAGGCTGAACAATGTCAAGGTGGTTTCTTTTAAGTTAAGCGATGTCAATTGTTGAATCAGTACATGAATGAATCGAGAAATTTGGATATTATTTTATATTGATGATGCCAATTTGGTGTTTTGATTTCGTTGTCCTCACTATGATATATAATGCTGCTGCCTACAATTTTTCAGAGGCATCACAGAATCCATAATTTTAAACAATCTAAATGTAATGTAATTTATCCTCCTTTGGATTTTTTATCAAGCTAAAACTGTTGCATAATATCTGTTCACCTTTATTTTAAGGGAATTATTGTTATTTTTTATGGACGGCGAGAAGAAAGACGGGTATCGTTGGCGGTATAATTCACAACAATGACTTTATTATTATTCTTTCTCATTATCCTATTCTTCTACATCTAACTTAATTGTAAATTTACATACAACTAGCTGGCCCGGTCCGCGTTGCCGGCCCGTACTTTTAGTCTTTAAAGCATAATAAATCACAGATCTGACTTATGTAGGCGGCACAATTTTGATTATAAGCAATGACGCCATTATAATTACTCCAATTTTGATTATAAGTAGTGACTTGATTATGAGTAATGACTCCATGACTAAATAAAAATTAATATTCATGGCCCTATCGTCGGTTTTAAATATTTTGAATACCCTGATCTTATTTTTACCTATATGATAAAGAACATTTATAATAGCCCCATGTGAAAATTCAGCTCAATTTTTGGTATTGTAAAAAGCATTCAAATGAGCTATAATTTGAAATTTGTATTTCCAACGTACTGCGTGGTATTCAGTTTTGTTCACCTCATACTTGACGGCAGAATGTTGTCAGAATAGCCAAAAAAAATACTATTTTGCTCTGATTACCGTAAGATGGGCATTAATTGTTTGTCATTTAAATTGTGCGGCGGAGATCCAATAAAGTTAATTTATAATTACGTATTTTTTTCATGTTTCTGCCACAATTTCCGACTGAATGAGTCCCAGATTGACATTTCGGAGTTTATTTCATATAGACGTACATCCCAAATCTACGTTCCCAACCAATATTCTCTTGGGGGTTACTAATTCTATAGAATACCAAATTTTCTTTTCTGACCACACATTGGTTGGGAAAGTGGACTTGGGGGTATACTAATGTGGGGACTATACTTAAATAAATTCCTATGAGGATAATTATCTGTAAGATGATTTTCTACCCCAGGGTTTTTTACCCCAGGTAGCCTCAAGACTAAGATGCGCACTTTTCCGAAAAATAAAAATTTATAAGAAGAGGTTTTTTTCCCTCTTAGAAACAAAGATGTCAAATAAGGGCCAAAAAATGAAAAAAAGTGGCCAAGACCCCGAAAATACCTTAAATCATATGATGGTGATACCAAAACGTGATAATTTTTTGCAAAGATGGTTTCTTCTTAAATTATCAACATAAGCTAAAATTATTACGAAAAATATGTTTAAAATGTAGAATATACTTGAAATCGGGTTGATCCGTTATCAGGGGTTATGATCCATATTATGACCTGCCAAAGCGATTTTAGGTATCTTGAATGTTTATGTAGAATTTCTATTTAGCGTTCTTTATAGTCGGTATTTGACTGATTGCAGTCCCAATGTATTTTGCATTTTGTGTTTTCATTTGACAATTTATTGTCATATGAAAGAAGCAGGTCCACTTTTTGAAATTAACCCCATAACGCTTCTTCGGTCATTTTTGTTAGTTTAAATGTGTTCGCATCTTCCAGCTGAAGCACGATGTAGGTCCTGGAGTAGAAAGCATTTAACATCGTATTGCGCTCTCATTTCATTTTTATATTATTCATTCAGAATTCAAACCAATAAAAAAATGTACACTTCAATATAGAAAAAAGAAAAAGAATCTTCAACTGGTTCGCTGATTTTTTTGCGGCAAATTTTTAAAGGTGATTACTAAGTTTGTCGGTAGAATGTACTATTATTTTGAAATTCGATTCCATTGAAAAATTGTCGATTTTTCCCGATTCTAGAATTTTCGTAAAAAGCGACAACGGATAAAATTGTTATTTATAGATTTTATGTATTTTTTGGATATTACGAATAAATACATAAAATCTATAAATAACAGTTTTATACGTTGTGGCTTTATATTACCCAAAAAAAACCTACACATCATATTAGAATTAAAAAAAAAAAACACTACAAATGTACATTCGAAAATAGTAAGTCAAAATGGAAAAAAAATATGCAATATAAAACATTACTTTTGTACATTTTAAAAGTCAAAATGAAAATGTTCAAATTTCACATTATTTTTTTTACGCGATTTTTTTTGGATTTTATTCTTTTCTGCCAAGAGGCAATTCCGAATTTGTCTAAATCGTTAAAATCAGACCTGCGGTCTTTATGTTATAAGAGTAGTAACTAACACAACTTTCTTTTACATAAAGAGAGATAGATTTAAAAGTAGGCGCGTTCCTCAGCCCCTAAATAAGTACTTAGGGTTGGATGGAAAGCCAACAGCATCTCGTGTAATAATTCTCAAACCGATATCTTCACTATTTTGGCAAATATAAAGATTTCAGATAAATCGTAATAGTGGGCGTAAAAGGAGGCGTGGTCAATATTTTTTTCTTCAAAAACCTAACTCGGGGTATGACGAACGTTTGTACAAAAAATTATGCAAATCGGTCCAGCCGTTTTCAACTGATTCCGTTACCAACAAACAACAATTGATTTTTATATATATAGATTTAATACTAATTTTTACAACTAAGGAATTCATATTATTAATTAATTCAAATTCAAAAATAAATAAAATAAAAAGTCATAAAAAACAAATAAATTGAAGTAACAATTACAATTAACAAAATTCAATAAGGCAAAAAAAATCAATAAAACTGCTCCAACATTCTGCCCCCATTGAATGGCTGCAGGACTTTAACAAATCGGGATTGGAGCGAGCTTCCTTATTGGCCTTTTTAATGTGCCCGTCCTTGTTCTTACTTCCGCCACCCTGACCTTTCCGTCTTGGCCCTCGGTGACGTTGACGATTCGGCCGGTTACCCACTCTTGAGGTGGCAGATTGTCCTCGTGCACGAGGACTAGTTGACCGACCTCTATGTTGGGCTGGGGATAGTGCCACTTGGCCTTGTCCTGTAGTCCTAGGACGTAATCCCTCGACCAAGCCCGCCAGAACCTCTGCTTGAGAGCGGAGAGCATCTGCCAGCGCTTGCAGTACCTCTTCTTGTTGTTGCTGTCTTCTCCGACGGATTCTGGCGGCAGCGAACGCAGACCCGCTCCGATTAGTAGGTGCCCGGGAGTCAGAGCTTCTCCGTCGTTGGGGTCTGGAGACAGCGGTGCTATGGAGCGACTGTTTAGCACCGCCTCTACTTCTACGAGCACTGTGACCATCTCTTCTTGTGTCAGCAGCACTTTGCCGACAGCTCGTAGAAGCAGGAACTTCGCCTGTTTTACGGCAGCTTCCCACAGCCCTCCGAAATGAGGCGCCCTCGGAGGAATGAAGCTGAACTGCACGTTCAACGAGGCAGCGTATTCCTCCACGGTTTCTCGGCCTGCTAGGAACTTCTCCTGAAGCTCCCTCAGCTCTCTGCTGGCTCCCACGAAATTCGTCGCGTTGTCGCAGTATATCCTCTTGGGGAGCCCACGCCTCGCGGCAAACCTTTTAAAAGAAAGAATAAAAGCATCAGAAGATAAATCAGATACTAATTCTAAGTGAACCGCTTTGGACGTGAAGCAAACGAAGACGGCTATATACATTTTGGTAGGTGGTCTTCCGCGAATTTTTAAAGTTATATTTACGGGACCACAGAAGTCTACGCCTATTATTAAAAATGGACGTAAAGCTCTCACTCTATCAGTGGGAATAATGCCCATTATTTGGGTCATCAGCTTTGGCTTGTAGCGAAAACAATGGATACAATTCCGAACTATTCGAATTCATTCTTCTCTGGCATTGATAAGCCAAATTTGCTCTCGAGACAATGCAACTAAGGCTTTCGTACCAGCATGGCTATTATTAAAATGTAAATTATTTAAATATATTGACACAAAATGATGTTTTTTAGGAAGTAAAAGTGGAAACTTTGTATCATGGGGCAATTGTGCATTTAACAGTCTTCCACCTACTCTAAGCAGAGAAAATGTCCGCTTACATTCAGTAAAATCGTGGATAAATGGTGTCAATTTCTGGATATTGGATTTTAAGCATATTGACTTTTTTTATTTGAGAAATCTGTTCTGAGAAACTCTCTTTTTGAACTGCCTCTACTAATTTAAGAAAAGACCAATTCAATTCTTGAGCTGTAAGACAGATAGATTTGGATATCTTTCGTTTCTTAACTCGATCGACAAACCGGAAAACATATGAAACCACTCTGAGAAGTTTTTTATATGAAGAATGGTCATTTATTAATTTCAAAAGAGTGTTCTCAGAATATTCCTTATCTGTCTTACTATTTGAGGTCAGTAATACTTTGGATTTTCTTGTTTCCAATAATTTTTCCTCCTCAGTCAATTCGAAATGCTTGTTGACTGGCCATTTAGACATATCGTCTAACAAAAATTTGGGTCCTTCAAACCATATCGATGATATAATTTCATCTACTCTGCATCCTCTCGACACAATGTCGGCTGGATTCTGTTTAGTTGGCACATGACGCCAAATACATTTTTCTGACCATTCTTGAATTTCTGCGACTCGATTTGAGACAAATGTGGCCAGAGAAGAAGGATGGGTTTTTAACCAGTATAGTGTAATTTCAGAATCAGACCAAAAGTATATTTTTTCAACATCAAAGTTCATCATTGGTTTAATTCGTAACCACATATTTGCCATGAGATGTGCTGCTGAGAGCTCCAACCTCGGAAGAGATATAGTTTTGAGGGGAGCTACTTTAGATTTAGCTGTTAGCAGCCTGCAAGATACTCCATTAGAGTCCTGCGAACGAATATAGAAACAACATCCATAGGCACGCATCGATGCATCTGAGAACCCATGAATTTGAATTCTAGATGAAATATTGGTGTTAACGAATCTTGGGATTTGAATCGTATCCAACTTCGAAAGATTGAATTTGAAATCTTCCCAGAGTGAACTCAAACGCATGGGAATCGATTCATCCCAGTCTAATTTATTAATCCAAAGTTCTTGCAATATCATTTTGGCTTTGGTTATTATTGGACACAAAAGGCCGAGGGGATCAAACAAACGTGAAGATATTGACAAAATGTGTCTTTTAGTAGCTTTCAGATCTTGGAAGTCTCCCTCTATGTAAAATTTGAAAACATCATTTCTTGGAGCCCAATGCCCTTGCAGTCTCGGAATCCGAGTGTAACAACTTTTCACCACAAGTTGTCTCATTAAAATCTGGATGATTAGAAAACCATTTTGTGAGATTTAATCCCGCTGAACTGAGAATAGTAGTGACTTCATCTCGAATTGTGAGAAGACTATTCAAATCAGCAGAACCAGTCAACAAATCATCCACATAGAAGTCGTTGCTTATAACTTTGGCACCAATAGGCCAAGCCTCTTTGGACAAATCGCTCAAATGGTTTAAGCAACGAATTGCTAGAAATGGAGCGGACGAAGTACCATAAGTGACCGTATTCAATCTGAAAATTTGCAGCGGATCACTTTCGTTTTGTCTCCAAAGGATCAAATGAAAACCTCTATCTTTTTCGTCGATTAAAACTTGACGATACATTTTCTCAATATCTGCAGTAATTACGTATTTGTGTAAGCGGAATCGAAGTAACGTTGAGTACAACTCTTCTTGAATAGTTGGACCTACCATCAAGAGATCATTGAGTGAAACATGTGAAGATGTTTTACTCGATGCATCAAACACGACGCGAAGTTTCGTAGTTGTATTTTGAGGTCGAAAAACACATTGTTGAGGAATGAAATAATGTGGGTTATTAGGAATTTTATTGTTCGTTTTTTCCATGTGATTTAAGTCAAGATACTCTTTCATGAAAGAATTATACATTCCTTTAGTTGTGTCGTCATAAGAAAGTTTTCTTTCCAATGCCAGAAACCGCCTTTTGGCTGTTTCAAATGACGAACCCAAAAGTTTCACATCTTCTTTAAAAGGTAAAGACACTTGAAAGCGTCCTGACGATAAACGTCGAACATATTTTTGGAAATGTTCCTCACATTTTTGATGTTCCTCACCGAATTTTTGCACTATTATTTGGAATTTCTTCTAACTCCCAGAATTTCTTTACAATTGCATCAATAGTTTCTTCATTGTCTATGGCAACATTCAAGTGACATACACCTGAATTTGACCCCTTTGACTCATCGTATTTGCCAGCTACGATCCAGCCAAGAGAAGTTTTTTGCAGAACCGGATAATTTGGATTCGATTTGATTTGGCCTACACAAAGAAGTTCGAAGAAAACTTCAGCACCAAGTAATAAATCCACTTTACGAGGTTCATTGAAATTAGGGTCTGCCAGCTCTATATTTTTAGGAATATTCCAATTAGCAGTGGAAATTCTCTTAGACTTGTTATAGAACTCAATACCCAGAATGTAGATGAGAATTGTGTTGGATTGAGTCTCGACATCACAGACAGTTGAACTTTATTTTTCGAAATGGAAATTCCTTCCGAAATGCCAGTTAAATTTAACCTGCTACTTTCCCGTTTTATTTTAAGTCTTTGTACCAAGTCTTCGGTTATCAAATTAGGTTGAGAACCGGAATCTAAAAGAGCTCTCGCCAGAATATATTTTCCTGAGCTACTACGGACCTTCACTAATGCTGTGGCCAACATTACGCCTTCATTCGACGATGAATAGTTGACCGAAGCGCTAGACGTAGAAGGCTGCTCTTGATCAGAAGCGTATCGATGCAGTAAGAAGTGGTGTGATCCACCGCATACTCTACACTTCACTCCTGAATTGCATTTGGCAACAGTATGGCCTTTTTTGAGGCAATTGATGCAAGCAGGGACATCTTTAATGAATTCAAATCTTTGCAGAACTGGTACGGCAGTGAAGGAAGTACAATTATTTATATTATGCTGAAAACATCTACAGAACACGCACTTTTCAGAAGATGGTTTCTGTTTAGAAACTGAAAGTGACGTTTTAAAGTTTCTTTTAGGCTGATTCAAAACTTTGGTTTATTAATTTTGGGTCTTGCACCAGAAGATTCTTCAGCTGATATGTGCTGATATGTTTTATTTAAAGCAGCTTCGCAATCAGATCATAATGGGAGCTTCTCGAAATCAAGCTGTTCTTCCCATTTGGATTTAGTGATTGGATCGACCTTTGACATAACTAAATGAATTAAAATGGCATTCGTAATCTTTTTATCATCACCAATCGACAACAGCGAATCATAAATAGCAGAAACTGTGTCGATCATGCTACGCAAAGCAGAAGCTGAAGGTTTAGGGATCTCAGGAAGATCAAAAAGTTTAGCAATATTATCGAAAAATATTAAACAATCATTATCATAAACCTTTTTCAGACTAGCTAATGCCTTGGGATAATTTTCTTCAGAAATCTGAAATGCTCTTACAGTACCGAGAGCTTCATCGGACAAGCATGAAATTAAATGATTGAATTTTTCTATGTCTGTCAATGTCGGATCTGTGTGAACTAAATTTTCAAAAAGACTCATAAAATTTTTGTATTCGGAATATTTTCCGCTAAATTTAGGCAATTTCATGTTTGGCAATCTAGATTGATGTGATTGGCCACAAAAAGAAGTTTCAGGCATACTACTTCTCCTATTTTTAGATAAAATTCCTAAAAATAGGGACTTTGCCGTAACGCATAAGTCTTCTAGTTCACCTCGATCATTATTATCGGGATCTAGAATATCAAGTTCGGATTGCAATCTCATTGCGTCATCAATATATTTGTTAAGAATGTCTAAGCGACATTCTAGTTCAATTGTATTGAACGAAATTCTCTTTTCTCTGAAAAAAGTCTTAATTCTTTCAATATTTTCAATTACCTTTTTTTTCTGTTGTCGGGAGTGCTTTGGTGCTTCTTACCACCAGCCATTATATAGAATTTAAATTAAATTTGTAAATTCCAACAAAAAAGTATCTACACACTTATTATTAGTGAATGGTAATGAACTAGTTTATTAAAAATAAACTCTCGCTTTTATTAAAATTTATACAATGTCAGCTTTATTGACAATTTAATTATTATTTTAATTAAATTGTTTGGTTTACAAATGTAAACAATCAAATTTCAATATTTTAGAAATTTTACAAAGAATTACGTCGTCTATAGCACCCTTTATATTGCAGTGTTTCGAAAACTATCGATAGCACTGTTTACCAAATGGAGTAACCGAATACAAGTAGTCAATTACTCACGAAGTGTTTGGCACTAGTAGAAACTAATCAAAACAAAGAAAATGAGGTTAAAAAAGGCAAAATTAAACTAATAAATTTAATAAATTAAAAAATATATGTAAATTTGCCGAATTGTAATATTTGTTTACAATTAGTTTCACTCGCGAATGTATAATAAAATTTGTTTTCGTGGATTAGTGTGGTGCTATGAATATACAATAACAACAAGTGAAATGGCTGACAAAGCAAAAGCGGAATAAGAAAAGGCAAACTTAATTTATATGTAATAATTAAGTTTGTGTTATCTTGCCGCGAAATCAAGCCAAAACGATTCACAAAATATATATATAATTGAAATATCAAGCGCATATGGATAATTTGTGTGAATTTTGATAAAATAAAATTTGTTTAACAAATTCTCTAACACTGAGTAATTTACAGGTTAGGATTCACACAAATTATGTCCAACGCTGTTACCTGTGAATCAGAATCACTCTCCTGATTGTTGTGTTTGCTCCTGCATAGACGGCAATTGCAGCGACGGGGCATCTGGATTTGATGACAGCAGCAGGTTTTTTGATGGGGAGTGTTTATTTTATTTATTTAATTTAATTGTTTTTATACCCTCCACCAAAAAAGGTATGGAGGGTATATTAACTTTGTCATTCCGTTTGTAACTCATCGAAATAATCATTTTAGACCCAACAAAGTATATATATTCTTGATCAGCGTAAAATTCTAAGACGATTTAGCCCTGTCCGTCCGTCTGTCCGTCTGTTGTAATCACGCTACAGTCTAAACGAATTAAGATAGGAAGCTAAAATTTTGCACAGATCTCTCTTTTGTCTGCAGGCAGGTCAAGTTCGAAGATGGGCTATATCGGTCCACGATATCGTATAGCCCCAATATAACGGTACCCCCCGATATTCGGTATTTTGATGATTTTACCCACATTTTTCAACGGAATTGTCTGAAAATCCACACAAGGAGTTCTTTGTGGGTACTTTATACCTCGGCAGAGAATTATCTATATAGGTCCACAATATCGTATAGCCCCCATATAACGGTACCCCCCGATATTCGGTATTTTGATGATTTTACCCACATTTTTCAACGGAATTGTCTGAAAATCCACACAAGGAGTTCCTTGTGGGTACTTTATACCTCGGCAGAGAATTATCTATATAGGTCCACGATATCGTATAGCCCCCATGTAACGGTACTCCACGATATTCGGTATTTTGATGATTTTACCCACACTTTTGAACGGAATTGTCTGAAAATCCACACAAGGAGTTCCTTGTTGGTACTTTCTACCTCGGCAGAGAATTATCTATATAGGTCCACGATATCGTATAGCCCCCATGTAACGGTACCCCCTGATATTCGGTATTTTGATGATCTTACCCACATTTTTGAACGGAATTGTCTGAAAGTCCACACAAGGAGTTCCTTGTGGGTACTTTACACCTCGGCAGAGAATTATCTATATAGGTCCACAATATCGTATAGCCCCCATATAACGGTACCCCCCGATATTCGGTATTTTGATGATTTTACCCACATTTTTCAACGGAATTGTCTGAAAATCCACACAAGGAGTTCCTTGTGGGTACTTTATACCTCGGCAGAGAATTATCTATATAGGTCCACGATATCGTATAGCCCCCATCTAACGGTACCCCCCGATATTCGGTATTTTGATGATTTTACCCACATTTTTCAACGGAATTGTCTGAAAATCCACACAAGGAGTTCCTTGTGGGTACTTTATACCTCGGCAGAGAATTATCTATATAGGTCCACGATATCGTATAGCCCCCATGTAACGGTACCCCCGATATTCGGTATTTTGATGATCTTACCCACATTTTGAACGGAATTGTCTGAAAATCCACACAAGGAGTTCTTTGTGGGTACTTTATACCTCGGCAGAGAATTATCTATATAGGTCCACAATATCGTATAGCCCCCATATAACGGTACCCCCCGATATTCGGTATTTTGATGATTTTACCCACATTTTTGAACGGAATTGTTTGAAAATCCACACAAGGGGTTCCTTGTGGGTACTTTATACCTCGGCAGAGAATTATCTATATAGGTCCACAATATCGTATAGCCCCCATATAACGGTACCCCCCGATATTCGGTATTTTGCTGATTTTACACACATTTTTGAACGGAATTGTCTGAAAATCCACACAAGGAGTTCCTTGTGGGTACTTTATACCTCGGCAGAGAATTATTTATATAGGTCCACAATATCGTATTGCCCCCATATAACGGTACCCCCCGATATTCGGTATTTTGAAGATTTTACCCACATTTTTGAACGGAATTGTCTGAAAATCCACACAAGGAGTTCCTTGTGGGTACTTTATACCTCGGCAGAGAATTACATATATATGGGTCCACAATATCGTATAGCCCCCATATAACGGTACCCCCCGATATTCGGTATTTTGAAGATTTTACCCACATTTTTCAACGGAATTGTCTGAAAATCCACACAAAGAGTTCCTTGTGGGTACTTTATACCTCGGCAGAGAATTATCTATATAGGTCCACAATATCGTATAGCCCCCATATAACGGTACCCCCCGATATTTGGTTTTTGATGATTTTACCCACATTTTTCAACGGAATTGTCTGAAAATCCACAAAAGGAGTCCCTTGTGGGCATTTTACCTCCTCAAAATGAAGTGTCTATATAGGTCCACGATATCGTATATCCCCCATATAACTGTAACCTCCGATATTCGGTATTTTGATGATGTTAGCCACGCTTTTCAATGGAATTGTCTTAAAATCAACACAAGTAGTTCCTTGTGAGTACTTCACCCCCTGAGAGAGAATTGTCTATACAGGTCCACGATATCGTATATCCCCCATATAACGGTAACTCCCGATATTCTGTATTTTATGATTTGACCCACATTTTTCATCGGAATTGTCTGAAAATCCACACAAGGAGTTCCTTGTGGGTACTTTATACCCCGGCAGAGAATTATTTATATAGATCCACGATATTGTATACCCTCATATAACGGTACCCCCGATGTTCGGTATTTTGATGTTTTTAGCCATATTTTTCAACGGAATGATCACAAGGGGTTCTTTGTACACAAGGGGTTCTTTGTGAGCACTTTACCCACCGACAGAGAATTCGCTATATAGGTTAACGATAACGTATAGCTCCCATATATCGGTACCCCGCGATATTCGGTATTTTGATGATTTTAGCCATATTTTCCAATCGTATGTCTGAAAATCCACACACGGAGTTCCTTGTGAGTACTTTACACGCAGATATAGATTTGTCTTTATAGGTCCACAATATCGTATATCCCCCCATTTATTTTTTTGAAAATTTTCTAATTCGTTCCAAATGGTGGAGGGTATTCAAAGTTCGGCCCGGCCGAACTTACTGCTTTTTTACTTGTTTAATATTGTCTTCTTCTTCCTTGTAGTATTTTAACAAGGCTGTTTTGCACAAAATTAACAAAACACACCGACACTTTATACTCCCGGGTTTCGGCACCAAAATGTTCACCTTTATTTAAAGGGAATTATTATAATTTTTAATTATAAAATTAATTTATTTATAATTTTTAAATTTTGTTATTTTTTATGGTCGGTGAGAAGAAAGACGCGTATCGTTGGCGGTATAATTCACAACAATGACTTTATTATTATTCTTTCTCATTGTTAAATCACTCAAATGATTTTTTAATATTATTTAAATTTGATTTGTTGCTCAAAGAGCATTTTTGAAAACATAACATTATTTAAATTAATTATTTTCAGTACTTAATATTTTAACGCTACAAGAGCCACCTTAATGTCATTTTTTCTGTTTTCCCTTTTCTATTATTTACTTTGAATTCGCCCTAAAGAGAATCCATCATAACTAGCATTGTTATTGTAAATATGGATGAGCCGTCAGACGATCAAGTGATAGGCAGAGAACGCACATACGTACAAACATACATACATACGTTGAGTGCATCATCTCTGTTTATGTTATTGCTCTGCCTCTGCTGATCGTTCTGCTGCTATTCAATGCAAAAAATATTGTCCCGCTATTCCTTTGGTTGTTAAACCAGAATAGAAAAGAAATAAAACATTCTTATTTGAAACAATTAAAGAGTGAAGAAGGGTTTTAATTTGGTGACGGGCTAGAGGCAAACAAAAAAGTAAAAAATAACCCAACACAGTGGTTGAGTAAAAATTGCAAATTAATTTTGGAGAAATTAAATTTGATTGTCTTGATGGAACAAATTGCATAAAAATTAAGCTAAAGGTGGAACTAAACGAAGGCGAGAATTTTGGCGTGTCTCAACAGAGAAACAACATATTTGGACAAATTGCTCTTCCAGGAGGAAGAACTACGCTTGCTCAGGGTATTCTACTTGCTGTTGGATAACCGTGGTCAGATTAAAGGTGGATAGGTGTATTAAAGCACTTTTGTCGTAAGTGGCCCTATAGACAACACAATTGCCCAGAGTAAGTAAATTTACATACTCAAGTCGAACCCTTGAGTGAGGAGTTTGTTCGATTGCATATTGGACAAATTCCGGGGTTGTCAAAATAGGCAATCCTCAAACATTGGCGACCGTGACAGGACACTTGTGTCTTTTTAACCTACAATTTTTGCTCTATATTACCCAAGTGCATTTGGATTTTGTTTGCCCGCCTTTTTACTGTCAGCCATTACTCCGTCATTTTGCGAAAGAATCGAAGCCATTTTTATAAGCGATAAGGAATATTGCTGAATTGAAAATTTAGAGTGAGACAGCATTCTCGCCTACTTTTCATCTAATTTTTTGGTGCCATTTTTAAAACTATCGTTGCTCAAGTGGCTGAAGCTGAAAATTAGACTGAGACGGCATTCTCATAAACCGGCTTCTCTTTCTTGCGCAACATAATCCTATCATCGGCAAACAACGGAAAACATTTTTACACAAATTTATAATAAATTATAATTCCAAATGACTGATGAACAAGTCCAGGGTTCCCAAAGGGACACAACCATTGAAGAATTGAAACAACAACATGGCTCGTCAAAGGGGAGTATGACCCGAATTAAAAATATAATTGAATCCAACACTTCATTGTCTCATACAGAACTTGAGTGTCGGTTGGGAATTGTAGAATCCCACTACAAGCAAGCTTCTTACTACCAAAGTCAGATAGAAAGATTGTCTCCCAGAGATAATGGAAGAGCCGAAATTGAGGAACTATATGTTTCAATTAAAACTAAAATTCTTACTCAAATTGGGCAAGATAGACGTCCTAGTGTAACTGATCAATCTTTTGTGTTGCCTCATGTCCCATCTAATAGATTACCCAGCTTAAAATTACCCAAGTTTGATGGGAAATATCTTGAATATAAGAACTTTATAAATACGTTTAACAATTTGGTCAACAATGACCCAAATATTTCTACTTCGGAAAAATTCAACCACTTACTCTCGTGTCTTAGTGGGGAAGCGCTTGCAACCATAAAGGCATTCCAAGTCACTGATGAAAATTATTCTAGTGCCCTTAAAAGATTGAAGGAGCGGTACGATAATGACACACTAATCTTTCTTGAAAATGTGACATCAATGTTTGAACTTCCGAAGTCCAATAAACCTGTTCCAAAGCAATTGAGAAATATTGTGGATACAATTTCTGCTCTCTATAGCTCTTTGAAATCCCTTGGCTCCTTTGAACAAATTTGTGATGCCTTCATAATTCATCTCGTAATGAGCAAGGTTGATTCTGAAACCAAACAACGATGGGATGAATACATCGATTACTCTAAATTACCCTCTTGGACTGAATGTTGCTCCATGTTGGACAAGCGTTGTCAGCAATTGGACGCACAGTGCCGACGGTCTTCAAAACAGCATAACCCTACCATAACAAATTACTCACATAGTAATAATCAAAAACAACATTCATTCGTAACAAAAAATGTGGCTCAAGATTTAGTGTGCAGTCATTGCTCAAAATCGGGTCATATGATATCAACTTGTCAACGGTTCATCGTTCTTACTCCTAATCAACGAATTGAACAAGCTAAACAACAAAAACTTTGCCTCAACTGTTTATCAAAAGGGCATGGTTACATACAATGCCCCTCAAAATATTCATGCAGATTTTGTAAACAACGTCATCACTCGCTTCTTCATAAGCAATCAGAACCAACCTGTCTCCGGGAAGAAGAAGAACCGTCATCATCATCTGCTACCACCCATAGCACCTTTCAAACCAAACCCAGTCCCCAAGTGAGTACTGTTATTCTTGCTACTGCATTAGTACTGGTTCGTGACTCAGAGGGAAAATATCAACTGGGCCGTGCTCTGCTTGACTCTTGCTCTCAAGTCAATTTCATAAGTGAGACATTATGCAAATCTCTTAATCTCAAGAAATGCACAAATTCAACAGATGTCTCTGGAGTTGGTTCTTCTAAGTTGAGAGTTACTCATAAAACACAAACGACAATAAGATCTCGTCTTAATAACTTCAATATGTCATTAGAGTTCCTGGTTTCTCGCAATATAACTGGTTATCATCCTGATGAAAATCTTTCCGCTAATAATTTCAATTTGCCCTCCAACATAGAGCTAGCCGATCCAGAATTTCATCGTCGACGAGGAATCGATATTTTACTCGGAGCAGAATCATTCTTTTCGCTCTTATCCGTTGGTCAAATTAAACTTGGAGAAAATTTGCCCACTTTACAAAAAACTCTCTTGGGATGGATTGTCTCTGGAAAGTATACAAGTCAAACGGCAATATCATCACAAAGGTCTACTTACTCCATTGTACAACACAAAGATATTTTCCAAGAGATAAATAAAAATATTGAAATGCTATGGAAAATTGACGTCGTTGAAAGTAAATGCCAAAATATGTCCCGAGAACAAAAAGTATGTGAAGACCATTTTGTGAAAAATGTATCAGTTCAATCGGATGGACGCTTAATGGTGAGATTACCCTTTAAAGGTGACCCAAATGTGCTTGGCGATTCACGAGACATTGCACTGCGTCGTTTCTTTTCCATAGAGAGAAAGTTGAACAAAAACCCTGAATTAAAAGAAGATTACTCAAAATTTCTTAAAGAATATGAGGAATTGGGCCATATGTCTCAGGTGGACGACACTAATATTTCAGTTCCCAACTATTACATACCACATCACTGTGTTCTTCGCCCCAGCAGTGTGTCGACCAAGTTGCGTGTTGTTTTCGACGCATCATGTCGAACCTCTTCACAAACATCCCTGAATGAAATTATGATGGTGGGTCCAACAATCCAGAACAATTTATTAATTACTCTGCTTCGTTTCAGGTGTCATCGTTACGGAATGACAGCTGATATCGTCAAAATGTATCGCCAGGTTTTGGTTCACCCTGAGGATAGACAACTTCAGCTTATACTGTGGAGAGATGACTCCACCAAACCGATAAAAACATTTGCCCTCAACACCGTTACATACGGGACAGCTTCGGCACCATATCTCGCAATTCGAAGTCTACATTATGCCGCAGAACGTTTTCCCAACCCATACGAAGTAGGAAAAGACATAATAATGAATGATTTTTATGTCGACGATATGGTTACTGGAGCGGATGACCTTGTATCTTTAAAACGCATTAAGAAAGAAGTCACCGAAATTTTATCTTACTCGAAATTTTCACTCTCAAAATGGCATAGCAATTACCCAGGTTATGTCTCAAGTGAAGATGAAGTAAAGGAAATGAAGCTAAATGATGACGTCACAAGTACTTTGGGTATGACATGGCACTCAGATAATGACACATTCCACTTTGAGTTTCGCCCATCCAAAACGTATGCACATAATACGAAAAGAAACATTCTTTCCCTGACGTCGACGCTCTTTGACCCAATGGGTTTAATAAGCCCTCTCATCATCAGGTCAAAAATATTGCTCCAACATCTTTGGATCATAAAATGTGATTGGGATGAATCAGTTCCTCAAGAAATTGAATCAGCGTGGGAATCCATCATGGCTGATTACAATAATTTGTCTCAAATAAAGATTCCTCGATACATTCGACTGCCAAATTCAACTAACATAGAGGTCCATGGATTTGGAGATGCTTCTATAAAGGCATATGGTTGCTGTTTGTATCTTCGCTGCGAAGATTCTTTGGGAAACATATCAGTAAATTTAATCGCATCAAAGTCAAGGGTTGCGCCCTTGAAAACGAGAACATTGCCACGATTAGAGTTGTGTGCTGCTCATTTACTCGCAACCTTCTGGAGCCAATTAAAGCAATATTTTAACTTCCCGATCTCTCAAATCCACTTCTGGTCGGATTCTCAGATTACTCTTCATTGGATTAATTCCCACTCTTCAACCTTGTCAACTTTTGTGGGTAACAGAGTAGCTGAGATTCAAGAAACTTGCCCTGATGTCCTATGGCAATATGTTCCTACTGAACTCAATCCCGCTGATTTAGTATCCAGAGGTTGTTCTGTTTCCGATATACTGGTTTCGCCTTGGTTCGTAGGCCCTTCCTTCCTTATGGGTCCATCTTTCAATTGGCCAAATTATTCTGGCCCAAGTCTAAGCGAAGCGGACATGCATATTGAAAGACGAAAAATTACATTGGTAACAAAAAAGGAGGACTTACCCTATATCCTAAAAGCAGTCCATAAATTCAGTAACTATTTAAAATGTCTCAGAATATTCTCATATATATTTCGAATTCGTTCAAGGAAATCGCTCCACTTGCCCTCTATATCTCCAGATGAGTTGACACATTCTCTCCATAGGATAGTCTGGTGCATTCAACAACATTATTTTTCGGAGGAATTCCTTGAAATATCAAAGCATGGATTTGTCTCTGGTCGGCTGTCATCATTGGCTCCATTTATAGAAGATGTCTCTGGAGTGCAATTAATAAGAGTTGGAGGCCGATTATTAAATGCCGAGCTTACACCAGAGATGAAGTTTCCTTTGCTCCTGCCCAAAACCGATCCCTTCGTAAAAATCATGGTGATCTACATTCATCGCTCTAATTACCATGCTGGTCCACGAGCCTTAGTATCTTTGATTCAGCAGCAATTTTGGATTGTCAATTGTCGGTCTTTGGCCCGAAAGGTTGTTCATCAGTGCATACATTGCACAAGATACAAACCGAAATTACTCACTCAGGTAATGGGCAACTTACCCAAGGATCGAGTTACCGGTTTCCGCCCATTTGATGTTGTTGGAGTTGATTTTGCTGGTCCCATACCAACGTATCTCAGGATTCGTGGGAAAGCTCCATCAAAATCCTACATTGCTGTCTTCGTTTGTTTCGCATCAAAGGCAGTACACCTAGAAGCGGTATCCGACTTGTCCAGCGAGGCCTTCATAGCAGCATTAAAACGGTTTACTGGCCGCAGAGGTGTACCGTCAAGAATTTATTGCGATAACGCTACCAATTTTGTTGGAGCAGAGAGGAAATTGAGTGATTTTCATAAATTTTTCCACCTCGACAAAAATAAGGAAGCAGTTGCTCATTATTCATCTGCGAAGTTCATAGAATTTTCCTTCATTCCTCCCAGAGCTCCTCATTTTGGTGGACTATGGGAAGCTGCTGTGAAATCAGCTAAAGGCCACTTGCTCAGAACGCTCCGTAGTGCTCGTCTTACATTTGAAGAGCTATGCACAGCCCTTGTTGAAATAGAGGCAATTTTAAATTCCCGTCCTATCTGCCAGATATCCACAGATCCCAACGACTTAGAAGCGCTTACTCCAGGGCATTTACTCATTGGTTGCCCGTTGCAGTGTATTCCAGAGAAGATAAAATATGACTCTGACATTTCTCATCTACAACAGTGGCAACGAATCTCAGCCATAAAGTCTCATTTCTGGAGCAGGTGGCACACAGAATACTTGGCTCAGTTACAAAATCGTTATCGCTGGAAAAACCCACAACAAAATCTTCAAGTCAACGATATGGTGCTCATACACGAAGACAATGTTCCCCCCATGAAATGGGCCATCGGTCGTATTACCAAACTTATTCCAGGAGCAGACGGTTTTGTTCGAGTGGCAGAAGTCAAGACATCACAAACTACATTAAAGCGTCCCGTGGCAAAGTTAGCCGTACTTCCTAAAGAATAAAGTTTGATTGAAACCAGGGTTTCAATGGGGCCCGGGATGTTAAATCACTCAAATGATTTTTTAATATTATTTAAATTTGATTTGTTGCTCAAAGAGCATTTTTGAAAACATAACATTATTTAAATTAATTATTTTCAGTACTTAATATTTTAACGCTACAAGAGCCACCTTAATGTCATTTTTTCTGTTTTCCCTTTTCTATTATTTACTTTGAATTCGCCCTAAAGAGAATCCATCATAACTAGCATTGTTATTGTAAATATGGATGAGCCGTCAGACGATCAAGTGATAGGCAGAGAACGCACATACGTACAAACATACATACATACGTTGAGTGCATCATCTCTGTTTATGTTATTGCTCTGCCTCTGCTGATCGTTCTGCTGCTATTCAATGCAAAAAATATTGTCCCGCTATTCCTTTGGTTGTTAAACCAGAATAGAAAAGAAATAAAACATTCTTATTTGAAACAATTAAAGAGTGAAGAAGGGTTTTAATTTGGTGACGGGCTAGAGGCAAACAAAAAAGTAAAAAATAACCCAACACAGTGGTTGAGTAAAAATTGCAAATTAATTTTGGAGAAATTAAATTTGATTGTCTTGATGGAACAAATTGCATAAAAATTAAGCTAAAGGTGGAACTAAACGAAGGCGAGAATTTTGGCGTGTCTCAACAGAGAAACAACATATTTGGACAAATTGCTCTTCCAGGAGGAAGAACTACGCTTGCTCAGGGTATTCTACTTGCTGTTGGATAACCGTGGTCAGATTAAAGGTGGATAGGTGTATTAAAGCACTTTTGTCGTAAGTGGCCCTATAGACAACACAATTGCCCAGAGTAAGTAAATTTACATACTCAAGTCGAACCCTTGAGTGAGGAGTTTGTTCGATTGCATATTGGACAAATTCCGGGGTTGTCAAAATAGGCAATCCTCAAACACTCATTATCCTATTCTTCTACATCTAACTTAATTGTAAATTTACATACTATTTAAATACTAATTTTTACAACTAAGGAATTCATATTATTAATTAATTCAAATTCAAAAATAAATAAAATAAAAAATCATAAAAAACAAATAAATTGATATAACAATTACAATTAACAAAATTCAATTTGAATCAATAAAACTGCTCCAACAATATCAATTAATATTCCAACGTATTCCAAATGATTTTGTCGAGGCATTATCGGAAATATCCAGTGAATTTACTGGGTTAAGCTTTTCTTCGGGCAGGTCATGTATCAACTTGGGGCCATTAGCAGTCTTCGATCGAATGACCTCCTGCTAAAACAACATCAACGTGGGGTAAGTGTACCAGTTGTCGGCACTTTTAGGATTTTCGCGTTTTTAATCGCTCACCATTCTGAGTGGAACTTTTCAATTATTACAAATTTAGTTTATTCAGAATCGAAATTTTGTATAGTTTTTTCCAATAATAAATAAAGTTTTAATAACATTTTATTAAATTTCATAAATTTGTAGTTTTATTAAAACAATGCTTTTTTGCCAGTAGACGGCACCACTTGCTAATTGTCGGTATGGCATGTTCCAACAGTCGGCATACCAATTTTTTTGTAAGAATAATTAATAATAAAAATAAATTAATTCATTAAAATATAATATTTTTGTTTAGTTAAACTGATTCGAGGTCTTTATTGTACTTTTCTTAAGAATATGGATTGTTGAGGACCTTTAATTTTTATTAGAATAAATCTTTTCTTAGCGAAATTGTATACAAAGATAGCTGATAATATATTTGAAGTAAACAAAATATATTTAGTTATAATAGATTCATTTATTTGGGCTTAAAAATAAAAAGTGCCGACTACTGGGACATGCCGAACTTAGGCACACTTACCCTATATAGTATACTAGCTGAACCCGGTGCGCTTCGCTATCCCTTTTGATTTTATATGCATTCAATTTTTTTTACGAATATATGTTGGATAAAAAAAAAAAAACAAATTTAAAAATTAAAAAATATATTGCACTACTTTAATGCGTTAATAAACAAAACCATTAGAAAAGCAGTAACATGACATGCATACACAAAGGGTTTGTCCTTTGGATTTATTTATTTCATAGCAAATACCAAGCGTGCAGCTGCAATTGAAACTGCAATTTTTTGAAGTTGTGTGGCTTTTCTATTGCAGTTAGTGAATTCGAGGTAGAAACATACTTCCCCGTAACAAGCGTATTTCAAATTAATTGTTGTTTTTTAGTGTTAGCCTAAGGCGTTGTGGGTCAATGGTTCTTATTAAAATCATATCTCAATCTGATCCGATTTAAATATAATTTTAAAAAATTTACTTTTACACCCAATGCGTCAAATATGTGAAATTGGTCGTGAATATATATATGGGAGCTATATCCAAATCCTAACTAATTTCCGTTTAATTTATCACATTTATTATTGTAACCAAATTCCGCCACACATTCTGAATTTCATTGGAATCGGTCATATATATCGTGTTTGGTGCATAACATGTATGAAATCGGCCGAAATATATATGTTAGCTATACCCAAACCTCAAACGATATCAATATAATTTGGCAATTTTTTTCTGGTGCCGGATTGCGTCTCTCTCGTCATCAAATATTTGAAATCGGCCGAGAATATATATGGGAGCTATAATCAAATCTGAGCGAATTTGAATATAATTTGTCAAATTTATTTTTGTACCAAATTTAGTTACTCATGGCGAATTTCATTGGAATCGGAAATACGTATCGTGTTTTGTGCATCAAATATGTGAAATCGGCGGAAAATATATATGGGAGCTATATCCAAATTTGAACCGATTTAAATATTATTCGATTAATTTATTTTCTAAACAAAATGCCGTCACACATTCCCAATTTCATTGAAATCGAACAATATATCGTGTTTGGTGCATCAAATAAACGAAATCGGTTGAAGATATATATGGGAGCTATATCCAAATCTGAACCGATTTCAATATAATTTGACAAATTTATTTTTGTTCCGAATTCCGTTTCGCATTCCAAATTTGGAGACTATATCTGTAATTGATCAATAGATATGTGCATACAAAATCTAAATTTTTGCGAGGTACCTCCGATTCTGATGCTATATCTTCCAAGTGGAATTTCAAAAATATATATGGCCTATGTTACTTTCAGGCGATGTTGCAGTATACATGCAAATTTTCAGGAAAATCTGTTCAGCGGTTTTCGAGTCCATAAATTACAAACAAACAAACAAACAAACATACAAATATTTTCCTCTTTTATAGATATAGATAGTTTTCACAAAATTATTTTCGATGTTATTGGATATGTGGATATGTTTCATTTGTGTCTTCAGCTAATTGACTCAGAGTTCTTATTTTCAGGAATTTTTCTAATATATCCTAATTCAAGGTATTTAAGGATGGTGTTGTCATATAATTGCTTAATCTCTAAAATTTTTCGAACTTCCTTTCCATTCTATAAAATTGTGCGAAAGTAATATTTCTTGAGTGTCCAAGGTCTTCACATTTTTCAAAGGGCAGGATAACCATGTAACTACATTCAGAGCTCCTTTTAGTAGTTTCCAAGTAGTTTTGTTCGGCATCTCTTCCAACTCATAAAAACGTGTTAAAAGGAACATAGCGGCAAATTTGATTGCTATATTTAAAATAGGAGCCCAAACTTCTAATTTAAAGTTGGAGTCGAGTCTAGATCGTAATGTGAAGACACATAGGTTGGAAGATATGTCCGAGATAATTTAATTTATTTCAGTGAGAAGAACAAGATTTGGTTTAGTTGGCGAATGTAATGGTTTTTTTAACTTTTCAGTAATGAAAGTGATCTGGTTCCAAGGGTTGTGTTGTAGTTAGGGTCTCCGTTCCCTTATGAAGCATGGCATGGTGTCTCATATTACAATTTCTGCAACCAAAACGACTTTTGCTCTCCTTTACGGCGTGTTTAGAGTATAGACAATTGTAACAGAAATGTGAGATTTTAACAAGATGAATCCTGTCAACGAGAGAAACCCATGATCTGTATAAAATCAAATTCTGAGTCGATCTACTCATGCCCGTCTGTCCATATGTTTATGTAAAAAATACACGTCACATTTATTGTTCGATTGGATAGAAATTTTGCACAGAGCGTTTGGTCGTGTCACGGACGAACGCTATTGAAATTGGTTATAATCGGCCCAAATTTAGATATAGCTCCACATATATCCTTGCTCGATTTCACGTTTATTGCACTCCAGAGGGCTTCAATGAGTATGATTTAGTAGGACTGATCACACTTAGTGGAAATCCAATCAAACTCAAACAGCCTGTCAGATATAACATGTGTGCATGTTGCTCAACCGAAACGAAAAAGTTGTGAGCAAACTTGAATTGATCGAAGTTCTATGTTCTCAATCAATGAACACAAAGGATCGAATCTGAGGGAAATCATGACTTGTAATATTACTAAGCATTTCATAACTAATAAAAATAGAACCCAATAAATTAATTGGTACAAATTGTATTTAATAAACGGAAATAAAATTAATTGGGTTTTTTGAAATTTTAGACTTCAGTGACTTATTTCTATAACAACAAAATAATTATTTTTTATAAAGAAATGCATCCATGGCATTTAAAAAAATGGTTAAATATTATTTTGGTTTTCCAATCTCGGTCAAGATTTTTCACACAAAACTTTGACCTTTTCATTTATTAGTCAGTGTGTAGTTTCTATTTGTAACCCTTTCAGTTTCACTCTTACAATTTTCTTTCTTTTTAAATATTATAAAAGTCAAAACAAACTGCATCAACTTGATCAAATGGTTGAATAAACAATAATGCTGAGCAAACTCGATTGAAAGAAATAAATCACAGTTGTGATTGTTTACTTCAATTCACGTGACGGATCAACTCATGTTGCAAAAAAAAAAAAATAAACTCTCTCAAACACTCATGTTTGATTACGAGTGAAGTGATTCAAACTGAATGTTCGGTTCAATCCAAAACGGAAACGATTTTCCCTTTCA